AGCATCTTCATTATTTATTCTTTAATTCAATAGATACATGTACACGTACATCTCCTTCTGATAGAGCAGTTACTAGTAATTTATCTTCACAACCTTTATCACCTCAAGGTATAATTTATAAACATAATTACAATAATGGTAATGTATTTTGTAGGCGAAGTACATATACCAGTTACAAAAGACTTGCTTTCTAATTTTAGTTCCATAAAGATGTCATTTGTGAGCCTCTTTTATAATGTTCGTAAGATTTTGGAAAGGAAATCGGCAGTTGAAGACATTAAAGAATTTCTGTTTTATTATAGCACTTCTCTTAGACAGAAAGTAAAGAAATGTTCCGACATTTCTAGCATCCTTCGTCATGTTAAAGATGAGTGTTCACTGACTGACATTGAACTTCTTTGTAGTATAGTTGAAGAAATGAACATCACTGAAGCAAAGGAACACATTACGACTTATAGAGAAAAGTTGAGCGAATCTTGCAAGTCACTTTCTATCAGTCTTTGCTTGAGTGAACGATTTAATTCTATTCCTCATCTTCAATGTCAGACGGTTATTTTTATCTTTGACTGGAAGCCTAAGGAACATATGCTGGAGGATATCAAGGAAATTCTTGCAAAAGTGTCTGGTAAATTACTGAAGATTCAGTTTATAGAGCCTACCAATTCAATATCTGTCACTTGCTCCTTTCCTTTCTCTGATGTTGGGTTTACTGTATTGAGGATGATAGAGAATATTCATGTACTAATGGGACAAGGATTAAAGAAACTGACTATTGGTAACGTAGCATTATGGAGGAGACAAGATGTTAGACAAAAGGTACATAATAGTTGAATATTGTTCATGAATATTGTTTTGTATAGGAACTAAAAGAAAAGGATCAAGACTTATTACAACATACCGATGTCAGTGTACATATTTTTATCATTATGCTCATGCAATTTAAGACATTGTTTTACACAAAAATTTCATATGCGCCTATTCTTTTTAGGTTATTTCTTTTATTATACTTGAAGAAGCTGAATATAAACTAAGAGATGCTATCAGTGGCAAAGAGAAGGTATGCTTTTATACCAGACAGTTGGATGTAATTAATTGATATTGTACTTATGATAGGAAACTATTAAATTGAAACAAAAACTATCAATGATGAAAATACTGGAGGTTAGCTATTGTACATGTACGTGTTATCAAAAAAAATTTAATTCCCGTAATATTTCCAGCTGTACTGCGTCATAATAATTATTTTGATTATTAGGAAGAATCATTGTCTGTTCAAAGTGATACCGAATCAATTAAAGAAGTTGAGGTATATCTCACTAGTTTGTATTAATTATAATAATTATTAATAGGAAGAACCACTTTATGAAGAGTTGACTGTATTGATCTCTCAGTTTAATGAGATAAAAGAAGAAAACAAAGAATTGTCAGACAAATTATCAAAAATGAAAGTTGAGTATTTGAGATCACTTATTAGTAATACTGATTCAGGTTAGAGTAGTTGTATTACTTATACTAATTATAATTGTAATTAATTAAAGCTGCTAGCAAAGTGAGAAGAGGAATGTCTTTTGAAATTGATGACTGCAAATTTCATCTTCAAGCAATGACAAGACCAGACTATCAGCCATTAGTAGATAATAAAAGAATAATAGAGAATTTACAAGAGAGAATAACATTAATGAATATGGAACTAATTACTAAACGAGAGCACGATGCAAGGATTGTAAAAGATATTAGAGGTTTTATTGATGATGTGTGACATCATTTGATTATATAATAATTAATAGATTTAGAGGTTAAAGACAAAGAGACTAGTGATGAAGAGATTGAGTATGATGGTCTGAATGATGAAATGAAGGATCAAATTTGTTCAGTAAGTGAAATCAGACAATGATATACATGTAAGTACTCTTTTTAACTAGTTCCAATTATATTGTAATCATCCTGTTACTGGAGAATTTTTGGAGTCCATTCTTGAAGTGCATAAAGATGAATTACTACCCACAGTACTGGATAAAGCTTATGAGGTTTATTATTTTTAGTTAATTTCTATTTATTCTTCAATTTTTTTATTTCTATTCTCCTCATTTCTTTATCAGTTAATGAAATTAGCTCCTCATATTCCTATTGAGAGATGTCGTTTAGTTAAATATTATTATTTGCATGATTTAATGGAGCAATCCTTGGATCTTGATGAGGTATGCATGTACTTAAGTTTTTGTGTATCCTGCTGTTATTATTTTTAGTTTCAGCATCAAACTATTGGGCAGATTGTGGGTGGGGCTAAACATTATTTTCCTTTTGACTTATTCATTGAAACTCGTGAAGAAAATGAAATTTTTGATAAATACAATGATGGAGGTGAGTCAATTACATGTATATGCGTTTGATGGTGTACATGTACAATGTAGGTATTAATCTAAATATATCAGTGGCTGATCTGTCAACTGGTGAAGTAGGGCTATCTAAACCAGTGAGAGTTGAAGAAGGTTGGACTGTTGGAGAATTAAAACAACATATAGGAGAAGTAATAATGTAATATGTATTGTTGGACTCGCCGCTGCGTAGGCGAGTATTATTAATGTCTGTCTGTGATCAAGCAAGGGTAAAGCTGTGTGTGTTCGCTTGACCTCCACTTTTGAGCTGACTGCTTTCTTGTCTAGTCCTGGAGAGTCTTATAATCAACACTGGCTCTAGTAAAAGTTATTCTCCGTCTTGGCAATGCTTGATTTGTCTTCTCCATGGAAAAAAAAGCCAGTCAGTAAAGTTGCCAATGTAGTCGGTTCCCCTGTACCTCTTTCATAGTTAGAGCAAC